AATAAAAAAACATTGTAAATTGTAATCAAGGTTTCTTTGTTTAGTGAATTGTGTCTGTTTCAAAATGTTGTGATATCTTAAGTAATGTCTTAAGTATCATGATATATTTTTGGCATATCGCTCATCCCAAAAAATGTTGTTTTTTTTTCTGTACAACTCCAAGAAAAGGCCTTCCAGCTTTGCAGCCCTCCTCTGGCGCAAAATGAAACTATTTCACAGATTAAATATCAGCCATATACCTGTGGTGTTAAATAATAGAAAAAAAAGTTATTATCAATATGTTTGTCCTGATTTGTCTATTTTTTTAATAATTGCTTATCGTTCCATCTCAAACAGACATATTTATTTGATTTGTTTTTTGTTCAGAAATCTTTGCTATTGCTATTTCTTAATGTAAAAAATGCATATACACCTCTACAGAAGTTTGATTATGAAGAAAGAATCATGGTGCATTGAAGAATTGAAGATTTTTCCCACCCTTGCTTTGGAAACAGCTCTACAAAATGACACACTCCCAAATTAGGACACTATATAATAAATAGGGCACAGTTTCATGGTTTTCTGAATGCTTGTTGTGTTCAAATGGCCTTAAGTGGAGAGTGAAAGACACCTAAACCCCAGATGGCCTGCTTTAGCCAAACCTAGCCACAGCACAGCAATGGAGGAGAGTGTGTGGTCCTCCTCGCTCCATTAGCAGAGGAGACAGTGCGTTCGCGTTAGCGGCGGAGCTGGCACGCTCTGCTTAGTGCTGATCCATGCTGATGACTCTGTTGGCGGATTAGCACGGCTAGCATCGGCCATCTGTTACTAGGGGACCTAATGAGAGAGACGTGTGGGTCACACACACTGGCATATATACACGCTCACAGAGTGCATATGTTTATATACATAGCTACACTAATCACAGAATATATACACATACACATTGGCTGGATGCCAAGTGGCTCCCTGTTGGACTTTTTGTGTACTGTTTGAAAATCATTTCAAGACCTGTGTGGTGACCTGTACAGGCCTTTTAGGACTCCGTCACTTTTGGTCAAAGAGAATTACTTGTTTGAGATCAGGAACAATTTAATATGTGTATTAATATGATATAATATGTGAGAAAAGGCTGTGTGCTTTACCTGTGTGCCTTCAGACGGTCTAGTTACCTGTGCATTGTCCAGACAGCTGCGCTGTGGACAGTCAGACTAGCGAATTCCACACTGGACAGACAGCCCATATCCCACAAAGCACTTTGAATACCATTAGCATATGATTTCCTCATTCGCGGGATCTGCGAGCTGCTGTTTTTTCCGGTGCTCCCATTGGCCGCCTCCACCAAGTCGAATTAATTACGCAGCTCACGGAGATTACAGCTCCTGCCTTGCAGTGCCACAGTGGAAGGCTGCTAATTACCTATAAAATCAGGCTAATTCTGACGCTAAACCCATTTTAATTTCTGATAATTAACTCAGGATTGGATCCTTAAATACCCAGGCATACCGTTACTGTGGTAATCATGGTTGTTGTTATGAATTATTTGGAGGCCCCGGCCTATTACCGTTGATATTAACTGTAATCACGCTAAGTGATTGGTTGGCGAAAGGTAAACAGCATTTAGTGCCTGTCCGTCTCCAAGGTTGCCATAGAGACGCCAACGAGGCCAGGACAGTGCGCCAAAAATGGTTTAATCTTGTATTGTCACTTTTTGTGATTAAATATTTGACAAGGCTGCATATTCTTATGGAGGGAGTGACAGCGTTCACTGTTTGTTTGCCGGCTCCCTCGCTGACTAAACGTTCCTTTGTGGTTTGCAGTTTGGCGACGCTGCCAATGAATAATTTCAGCAGCGTGCTGACACGCGGCGGCTGCAGTCGACGAGTTTGGGCCGCGTGCGTTTGAGCGCTGTCAGAAAGCTAAGCCAGGCTAAGGCTTCGGCTTATTTGTCAAGCCGTAGGTGGAATGTGATTAAGATGCGGTTTGCATAGATCTGTATTAGGGCTGCACAATATGCTATGCCATTTGTTTATCATTATCATGCTGTTGGGCTTTTCAGTACTGATGCTGCAGAAGGTTGCAGTGGGAAAATGAGGCCTCTTACAAATCATGGTTTTTTGTTATTATTATGTGCTGTGGGTGTTTTCCTGATCAGACAATCTTAAATCATTTTGTCCGAAATAATGCAGGCCAGTCTTTAAGCACACAGAGTCAGTGATTCTCTGATACTTTTATGATATATTGCCTCTTAAGTCAAGTCGTTATTCTGTTGTTAGGTTTTTTTTGAAAATATGTGCTGTTGTGATGTGCAAAAAACGTTTTTGTATCGCAACAAAAACAAATAGGCAGAACGTCTTTAAGTGTTAAATATCTTTTGCTCCTCACAAAATAGGTAAAGGGGGATATCAGTTAGGCTATTTTCACTCATTCAGCAGCTGTGAGTCTGTAGCTCGGTTTGAGCTGATTATAGAGATGCTAGCGGAGGATAAACTTATCATGTTCGGGATGCTGGGACCTAGCTGATCCACCAGCTTAGTTGTCACCATGCCAACAGCAATTGGTCAAAGAGTTCACGTCATTGATGATAGTTTGTGAAAGTTGAACAGAAGGTCAACAACATAATGTTAATTTTTGTCGTCGTGTAGTGTGCAAGATGTCGTCACTTGCTCAAATGAATTTATTGTCCTCTGAATGATTTCATGTGTTTAAAGGCCTTTCGGAGAAAAATGCGCACACAAAGACATTTAAGGGTAAAATGTACAAAGGACGAAACGGATCAGCTTTGGAACATTTTTGTTTACAGTAGGACGCAATAGCAGTGATTTTTTTTTTTGTAACTACCATTAATATTCCTAGTGGACAAAAACTGCTTAGACCTGAAGATCCCTATTTGGCAATGATGCTGACACACAACTTCAGAAGTCTATATAACAGTTGCAGTATGTAACATTGTTACTGTATGTTAATTTGTCCATATCCTGCGGCCCTATCTGGACTTCATCTGGAAATGTCCGCTTCCTTCAGCAAGTGAGTGGGAAATAATAATGAAAGCGTCTTTGAACTTGTTTCTTATCCTGGGGGGGCTAACAGGGTCATGACCCATTGGCCTTTATGAGGGTAGATAGAAGTGGGCTAGAGATCTTAAAAGGGAGGGATGGAAGGAGGGACAGAGAACAGGACATGGCTTGTGTGTCTGGCTCGTTGTGTGTATATGTGAGTGTGTGCTGGTCCATCAGAATTGCTCATGGGCAAAGCACTGTTAGTTGATATTCTGCGGATGGCTCCATCTCTGAGATCTAATAGCGTGTGTGTGTTTGCGTGTGCGTGTGTGTGTGCTGCGGAGAGACGAGAGCAGCCCAGGGGACAGGCAGAGAGTGTTGATGTATAATGATACAATAACAAAGCCGCGCTGTAAAACAGAGTGTGGCGCTCTGTAGCGCACGGCTGGCTTTCAGACGCAGCTCGGAGTGGGATTAGTGTGTGCCGGGCCACCAGAAGAACCAGAGAACAAGAATCAGACACAATATCACACACACACACACACACACACACACATACACACACACACACACACACACACATACATCTCCCCAATCTCCCACCGTTACACATGCAGCTTTTCAGAAATGATGGCTGGCTGTTTGCTGTAGTATCACTAACTCAGTGGCTGAGGCGGTTTGGTGTGGCACAAAGGAAAGTGTGGGTTTGTTTTTGTGTGCTGTCACTTCGCTGTGACACTAGTCGTGATCAAGGCGCAGTATTTGCCCTTATGTTCTTCCACCTCTCCAAAGTTCAGTCTTAGAAGTTGGTTGCATTTTTTGCTTTTCATGATCCAAGAAATCCCAAGCACATTCAGGAATGTTGAGGTCAAGGGTCTGGGGTGGTCAGTTCATTGTTCTGAGAACTCCAGCAGCTCCTTTGTTTGATTCTCAGTAAGAGCTTCTTGACAGCTACATATCCTTTCAGACCCATAGTACTGAGGTGGCTTCTCACAGTGGAAGGACGGACAGAAACACCTGTGGAGTTTTTCGGATCTGAAGTAAGAGTGGAGCTTGATTTTCTCCTCTCTCTCGAGGATGAAAGCTTGAAGTACTGTTTTGATAGTCTTGCTAGATTGTTGGGAGTCTCATTTCTCTCTATCTCATAATTTAATTTCTTATCATTTAATTACTAGTTACTAATTATAAGTTTGGAAACTCCTGTTTTTCACTTATATTTTTTGGTTTTCTCTTCTTTATGCAAGTGGATTATCTTATGTCTAATCTCCTCAGAAATATCTTGTGAAAAACAACTTACTTGTACTTAATGTCCATTTTTTAGATGCATGAAGGGTGGTCTCTGACTTTTGCACACTGTTGTAACACATATGGGACGTTATTATTGCTATTATTATTACATATAGGCCCTTGCATAGAATACCTATGAGAACCATTATTACATATAGTTTCAAACACATATGAAACATATATGACCTCATGTCCTGACAAGGTATAAAAACAAGTGTGTGTGTGTGTGTGTGGCTCTCTGCACAAGCAGTGGAATCTCTATTGAAACAGTTAAAGGCATAATTTGCCTGTTAAGCGCATCACCACTGCGAGGCTGCCTGTTTTACACTGTGTAAAAAGGGCTGTGAATAGTCTCGTAAATCACAGTGCGTCACGCATACTCCGTGTGTGTGTGTGCGCGGTTGTGTGTGCGCAGACCTCTGACTCGCCTAGGCTGAAGTCCGTCTCTAAAGCGAATGAATTGTTACAAAGTGACAAAGAGAACAAACTGTGCCCAGCCTGCTGCCCAAATCTGACGTTAACACGTGGTCTAGGAGAAGGATGCTCACTGTGCATACTTGCTGTGTGTGTATGTGTGTATGGGTGAGTGGGAGGGTGGCATAGAGTGACTAGTGACTGGTTTTAAATAGGAATATTGTTTGGGGTAAGTGAGATGTGAAAGGGAGAGTGGCAGAGTGTGTGCGTGAGTGCGCGTGTGCTGGTTTTAACCACTCTTGATTCGATTGTGTTTGACAGATATGGAGTCTGGAGAGCGGCTGGCCTCGCCTTCCTCCACCCCGGTCTCCGTACACAACGCCTCCTCTTCATCCTCATCCTCATCCTCAACGTCCCCGGCCTCCAACACCAAGAGCAGCCTCAACCACGGAGCTACGGCCTCACTCACTGCCTGTGGTAAGAACATATACATACATACATACATACATACATACATACATATATACAAATAAAAACCTTAAAACGCATCATGAACAAACCTGTTATTATAAATAGAAACCTTTTAAGTGAAGGAGCTGGCAGTATGTCAAAGACGTCACGCAGTTGTGAACCATTAATATTAGACCAATGCTTTTTGTTCAGGTCATGAATGTCTACACTAATATTTCATACACTAAGCTGCTCTAAATGCATTTAAAAAGGACTAATTACACTCTTTTTGTAATGAAGCATGTAGTTGTAAGTTGTCAAGTGTTCTTTAAGGACTGGCGAGATCCATGACATGCTCGGAAAGTCAACTTACGATGCCAATACATATCGTCATATTGCCCAACCCTAAAGAGAAACATTCTTATCATTTAATGTAACAAAATGTAATCATTTTGAAGCATTTCTGTTGATCCATTCATCATGAAACAGTCACTCAATATAAGGGACAGCTGGCATTTTCAAATGATGTAAATAAATAAATAGATAAATACATGAAAAGTGCCTCTATTGAATAAAGGTGTAAGTTTCTCTGAGAATGACTAAGTTGCTACAAAAGTCACTGGCTCTGTTAAATTAAGAACATTATTTTTTCCCATAAAGTTACCATTTTCTTACGAAGATAATGATAGACAGTATTTATAGACACGTACATCCTGACACCTTCACTTAAACTGACACTCACGTACGTGCAGACAATCAAACTTGCTCATGTTCACATCATCACCTTTTTTAGACTCTTATTCAAGCCTTCTTTCTTACCCTCAGCGGAAAAGCTCACTACTCACTTCACACATTCACTCACACATGCATATTCCACAACACAGCCCTCAATCTGCTCTTACCATCCTCATAACAACAGTACAGGCGTGGGCAGATGATTCCGATTTATTTAAGTCCCTCTCCCCAGCGTCCGCTAAGCTCCTGCTCCATCTCTCCCCCGTTCCCCCCCGTGTGTGTAAGTAAAGGGCCCTGGCCCCCGAGTTCCTGCCGCTAGCTTAACGCAGAGGAAAGACTCTGCCTGGCTCCTGCCGTAATTACCATGTTATTGTGGAACATGTGAAAACACCTTTTCTCCCAGCCAGGCTTTAGCGCTCACAGCTTTGGCTGCAAATTGAAAAGCTGCTGCATTAATGAGGCTCAGACAATTAACCAGGCTTTTGTCGAAGCACTGCTGCTTTCTGCTTTGGACTATCTGAGCGTGTGTCTGTCTCGCTCACCTTGTCGTTCATTTGTCCCTTCCCGTTTTCCTTTCCGTTCTTTTCCTGCCATTTCCTTTCTGTATCGTTTCTTTCCTTTTCTATTTTCCTTTCCTTTCCTGTCTTCCTTTTGCTATTCCATTCACTTCCATACCATTACTTTTCTTTCCATTTTTGTCGTCTTTTTTGGTTCCACTTCTCCACTGTCTTTTCCTCTCCTGTCTTGTCCTTTCCAGGCCCTTGTGTACATTTTCCTTTCTTTTCTCCATCTGATTTTTTTCCTGTCTTGTGCTTTTCTTTTCCATTCCCGTCCCTACCATTCCTTTTCTTTCCTTTTTTGTTCTTTCCTTTTGTTGCACTTCTTTTCTGTTTTTCTCTCCTGTCGTTTCCTTTCCTGCCCTGTCCTTTCTATCCCCTTACATACTTTTATGTTTTACTTTCCTGTCTTATCCTTTCCTTTCCTTTCTGTACCTTCCTTTTCTTACCTTTTCTATGTTTTCCTATTTGTTCCTTGCCCTTTCCTTACACTTTTTTTCTGTTTTTATTTTCTGTCATTTTCTGTCCTGTCTTGTCCTTTCTATTTGCTTCCATACTGTTCCTTTTCTTTTCTTTTCTTTTCTTTTCTTTTCCTGTCCTGTCCTTTTTGTACCATTCTGTTCCTTTCCAATTTTTCTGTTCCTTTCCAATTTTTCTGTTCCTTTCCAATTTTCCTTTTCCTTTCCTATCCTTTCCTTTCCTTTCCTTTCCTTTGCTTTCCTTTCCTTTCCTTTGCTTTCCTTTGCTTTTCCTCTTCCTTTTCCTTTTCCTTGCTCTCCTTTTCCTTGCTTTCCTTTTCCTTTCCTTTCCTTTCCTTTCCTTTCCGTCTTCTTCTATTTAGCTTTCCATTTTCCTTTTCTCTTTTCGAGATTCCTTTCCTTCTTTCTTTTTTGTCCTCGTCTTTCTTTCTTTCCTTTACCCACTGCTTCACTCCTCATGCCTATTGTCTGCTCCTTGATGCTGTTACTGAAATGGCCTCTTAAGAATATGCTATGATGTCAGCTGCAGTGTCCACAGTGTAATTTATTCTGTGCGCTCTGCAGTCCAATATATTTTTCATCCTCATGTTGATCCTGTGAGTTCCCCATTAGAGGCTTGTATCGACCAGAGTCCATCTCTCCAATCTGCCTCCATATCTGTAGAGATATATATGTGTGTGTGTGTGTGTGTGTGTGTGTGTGTGTGTGGATGTGTGACTGTGTGTGTGTGTGTGTGTGTGTGTGAGTGTGTGTGCACAGATTTGAAAGTCAGCTGTGTGTGTGTGTTTATGTTTGTGTTTGTGTGTGTAGATGTCTGTGGATGTGTGACTGTGTGATTGTGTGTGCACAGATTTGAAAGTCAGCTGTGTGTGTGTGTGCATGGTTGCGTGTGTGTGTGTGTGTGTGTGTGGATTTAAAAGCCTGCAGTGTGTGTGTATGTACACAGATTTGAAAGTCAGCTGTGTGTGTGTGTGTGTGTGTGTGTGTGTGTGTGTGTGTGTGTCTCTGTGCTCTATAGGAGAGCCAAATGGAGCTTTGTTATGAGATTGCCATTGTCTCTGGAGGATCGAGGCCTAAAGCTGGCGTTCTATCTGCCATCATACAAGCACTGGTCTCATTCCTCCTGGCAATTCGAGAACATGCCAGCCTCTCTGCTGCATTTATTATCTCCAGTATTATCTTACATAATGTCATTCCGTTTGGACATTTTCATCCCCTCTTGACAAACCAATAGCTGAATTTTTACCCCTTCAAGGGAATAAATCACATAATATGAAAGACAACTTAATTTTTTGCCTCATTTAGGATTGGAGTGAGCAGACATTGTTCTGTAGGATCTTAAGATAAAGTTGGTCAAAAACGGAATATACAAAATAGATTTGAGGAATGTAAAAATGAAACCTTATTTAAGTAGATCGTTCTCAGCAGTGACACTACAGCATTAACCCTTAACTGTCTAGAGGTATTACTGTCATTTTACTATTGTATTTAAAAGTAGTTGCGTAATTGCATAATTAATTTCATTGCTACTTAATTACATATACATTCCATTTATATTCTTTATTGATCAGGGCCTTGCTGATATGGAAAATCTGTGACCAATGCTGATTTTAAGGAGCTAAAAATTTTGATAATTGAAAATATCATCCAGTATAATTTTAGATTTCTATTTTGGATTTTTAATTTTAAACAGTAAACACTGCTTTAAGGCCAGACATGACTGTCAGTTCTTAATTGTCACAGTTCTTTTACTTTCTAGTATTTAACAGTGGAAGCAGAGCGATGAGAATTCCTTCATAGAAAAAAATGTGTCATAACATGTTATTCTTATGCTAAAGGTTAGGTTTGGATACATTTCACCTTTTTTTGTTTAAATCATGATAGTGTTAGTGTTTATGATTAAATGTACAAATTCAGCCTGTGTTTCTGTCATTTATTTAAATGGGGTGACTTGATTTTACAGTCTAAAGTTTTGCGCTGTAGTTGTCTCCTGGCGATGTTGCAAACAGAAAAGTAAAGTAGTGTATTATAGGAAATATTTTTGCTGATGTCAGTAAAACTCACTGGATTTCTAGTATTTTAGTCCTATTATTATTTTTGGTTAATGAAACCATATAAATGTTATAAGTCGACCTCAAGAGAAAAAAATGTAGGATATGGGACCAGGATTGAGTCACTTTTTTTCCATTTTTATGGCAAATGGTGACAAAATATGGCTAGAAATGTAAAGTAAACAATTATTTTCACAAAAGAAAACACAGCGATAAATAACTAATAGCAACCATAAAGCTTTGCCCTTTGCTACAACGGGGCAAAACAAAGCATCATTATTGTTTTAATGAGCTATGAGTGAGAAATAGTTAAACAAAGTATAAGAAGGTTGAGGATGAGGGTGAAGTGTGATGTATGTTTTCTATATGAATTCTAACGGAGTGTGTGTGTGTGTTTGGTCTGAAATGGAGAATATGTGTGTGTCTCACGGGGCAAAATGGAGAACACATGTCTCTGCTCTCTCTGTCTCTCTCCCCCACAAACACACGCGTGCAATTAACTCCGATCTGTCCGCCACAGCGTGATTGACGCCAACAAAGGGCACGTTAATCCCTCTCTGCTGCATCCCACATGAGAGAAAGAGTGAGAGAGAGTGGGGGAGAGTGGGGGAGAGAAAGCACAGTGGTGCATTTTGAGATGGCCTTGTTTGTCAGAGCGAAGGATAGAAACGAGAAAAGGAAGGACTAATTGTTGATTGTGTACGCTACACAATATGGATAAAATTGGTTATATTACTGCATATTGGATAAGGAAGAAAAGGATAAGATTGTGAAATGCCTTGCAATATATCTCAGCTCACTGGTCTGTCATTAAGTTGGCACTGATTAAAGATTGACCCACATTATTTTCAATGAAATGTATATTGATTCATCAACAGAACACCAACAGAAACTCAACTGGAGCTGTGATTATTCAAGAGCCTCACAGGACATGGTTAAAAACATTGGCTCTTATTCATCAAAGGTGTGCGCAGTCAAAGCTGATCGTAAAATGAACGCACATAAATTTCACTGTTTAGTTATTCATCATTGTCATCTTTTCTATATCTGTATGATCAAACTCACATCTGGTTGGGGTTTGTGTGTAAAATTGAGCATAAACGTTGAGAAAAATCTGGAAAAAATGCTTGATTTGCAGTCAACTAACCAAATCTATTCTTATTTTGCTGTTGTCAGTAGAAAACTTTGTATCTCCAAAATGGTAA